CTGTTGTGTTTGTCACTCTCTTGTGACCTGCTATTTTGGGGTGCCTTGATAGTTGAAGCAGACCTTGTGCTGTTGAAGCTAGAGAGGTGAGCCATCTAAGTCTGATTCCTTGCAAAGACTTCTCTGTTGACACCCACCCCTTGGCGCTCTTATGACCTTATGCAGTTACTAGCGCCGTAAAACCCTCTACTGAACTACGAATTGTGTGTCTCACGTGGATGCGTTCCGTGTTTCTCTTGTCGTTGCAGGACATCGCTGTGAGGGCGTTGAAGCTGAGCGTGAACCAGAGCGTGCACAGCGCCATCGGCCTACTGATGCACATTGTGGAGAACAAGATAAACGGCGGCAAGAAAACGCCAGGTAACGCGCATTTCTGACGCTTGTACGCTTGTCGTCGTTGGCGGCTTCCTTTTTTTTTCTGTTTGTGTCTTAGGTTGATATCGTGTAATGTGGTTACTGTATGCTTGCTTCATTTGTCTCTTTCTCTCTTTTTTGTGTCTGTCTGTCTGTCTGTCTGTCTGTCTGTTCCTCTCCCTTTCTCTCTCTTTTGCTCTGCATTGTATCCTATTATTATGGTGTCCTTTTGTCTCTTAGTCATCCCCCTCTCTCTTTCTCTCTACTCTCTCCTCCTCACTCTCTATTTCTCTCCGTCTCCCTCTCTTTTCCTCTCTCTCCTGTTTTACTCTCCCTCTTTTGTTTCTGTTTGCCCGCTTGTCTTATTTTTTTTTCCAGTACTGAATGACTATTATTTTGTCAATGTGCCTCTCTTTACTCAAACAAACAAACAACTTTTTATGGTGCTCCTATTATCAACATTATGCAGTTGCGAACGCCATAACACCTTACTAAAACTAAACTAAAATAACTGTTTATGGGTGTTTGGCGGGCGCTCTGGTGTGGTTTTCTTCTTCTTTCCTATCCAACATTTATCGTGTTTGTCTCCCCCGCCTTCTTCATTGTGTGTGTTACTCTCTTGTAACACCTCCCAACTTCGCCACTCATATGTGTTGCAAGGACCGTAAAACGCTTACTAAAAAAAAACTATTTTTGTGTTTCTCTGTCCAGGTTTTTCTTCGTACGGCCTGAGCCAAAGGCCGCCAAATTTTGGGCCCAGCAGCCCTGCAGCCTCCGAGACCAACAGTGTGCGCTCTGATAGCCCCAGCCACAACCCAACCTCCCAGCGGCCGTTCTTGACCAATGGCCTGCAGACTCCGCCTCCCCTGCCTCCACGCATGCCCATCACAACCCAAGCCAACCACACCCCCCGCGGCCAGACTCCGCCCCCTTCTATTGTTGGTGGTGGTGGTGCTGTTGATGCTGCTGTTAAATCAGGAGGGAACCCAGTTGCTCAAAAGGTGAGGGAACTCTTTTGAATTTGTTTGTGCTCGAGAATTGTTGCCAAGTTGTTAGGCTCTCGGACTCGCGACGATGAGGTCGTGGGTTTGAATCCTGTCAGGGGCCTGACGTTGTCTTCTTTGGAAAGGCACTTTTCATTAATTTCCCCCACTTCACCCAGGTAGGAATGGGTACCTAGCTAGAGACGGCAAAAGATCTTGTCAGTTTGTAAGTGTTTGAGTGCATAAAATCCGCAGCCTGCACTGTATGCTTCGTGGGAAGCTGAGAATGTTTCTGAGTGTTCTATGGTTTGCTGGGGTAATAACATAGTTTAAAGCACATGGAGCTTGCTGTTGAGCATGGGTGTGCGCTATACAAATGCTATTTATAATTTATTTGTTCAATTATTATTATTATTATTATTATTATTACATTCTCTATACTCAAGGTGTTTCGCAGTTTTGTTTTGTGTGAATTTTGTACTGATTGGTTTATCATTGTAGGTATGGACTGTCAAGTGCTTAGAACGGGATCTGCACTCTACAAATGCAATTTATTATTGTCTTTATTATATTATTGGGTTTATGATATTGTATTTTAATACTCACTCTTTGTTTTGCTTGTTTGTTTGTTTGTTTTTTCCATTATTATCGATGCAAATTTCAAGAACAATACTTTGAGGAAAGATGGTAAAGTATAAGAATGTGGGAGGAAGGGCTTAGAAATATGAGCTCAGCACCTTATTTGACATTATATTAAACAGATTTCCACGTGAATTTTTATTGAAAAACGTTGTTAAATGGCACAAAATATGTAAATATTCAGTTTCCAGGGACTTTCAAGATATAGAAATTACCATAAGTGGCGGCCATTTTCTCGCTAAAACCATGATTCCCTCTCCTCTTTCAGCGGCAAATATTTCAACTTCTATTCAAGATAAAGAGGTATTTTATTCAAGAATAGCAATGCAAATGAATAAGCTTTCAGCTGGTACCGATGACTCCACGTGCCCAAAAATTGACGAGTGCCTGATTTCACCGCGTTGTGACACATACTATCATTGTGACGTCTTGAGCATCTTTTACCTTGGCCATGTTACCATGTGGGTGGTTGGCAGGTGCTCTGGTGTGGTTTGCTTCTTCTTTCCCATCAAACATCTATCCTCCTTATCTCCCTTTTCTTCTTTTTTATGTTTGTTACTCTCTTGTAACACCTCTAATCTACTGGCGCTCATATGACCTTATGCAGTTGCGAGCGCCGTAAAACCTCTACTAAACTGAACTAAACTAAACCGATGATGAAGGTTGCCAGACCGCCCGCCAAAATAATATTGTCAGATAGACACAGTCTATTATTTGTTATCATCATTATTGTTTATAAGTATTTTAACCTTTCTATAGATATTTTAAATTATAGATAATTTAATAGATATAACTATTCTCTTCTAAGAATGAATTTCATGCATTGGTTTAATTACAGGTTTTCCCATTTTAATTGTTCACGGGGTTTGCAGGATATATTTTTAACATAATTGTCTTGATATCATAATCATTAAAATTATTGTGATTTATACTATTATCGATATGATTATTTTATTTTTGGTTGCATTTTTACGAGTATCATTGTTGTTATTATTTTAAAATTTTAATCCCAACTATTCCCAGGTTTTACAAGATCTATTGTTATCCTAACTGTCGTAATATTATTTCTATTATTATTGTTATTATTATTATTATTATTATTATTATTATTATTATCATTATTATTATTATTATTATCATTATAATTATTAGTTTAGTTGCTAGTTGTTAGATTATTAAGAGGTAATATTGTTAGTTTTATCGTTACTAGTTATTTTTGTCATTATTATAATATCATGCTTCCCAGAAAGTTTTGATTGTTTATAAGTGCTGTCAGGTATGCTGGGGAAATAATATAGATTGTAAAGCACTTAGAGCTTGCTGTTGAGGAGGAATTTACACTATACAAAAGCTATATATCTATTATTATTATTATTATTGTGATTATTATGGTTATTGTTATTACTATTCTTTTTCTTCCTCTTCCTAATAATAATAATAATTATTATTACTAAGAGTTTTTCTTTTTCTTCTTCTTCTAATAATGATAATAATAATTATTATTATTACTAAGAGTTTTTTCCTCCAACTGTCCCCAGGCTATGCCAGGCCAAGGCCTGCTACAAAGTCTGAGCAAGAGTCAGGCCGGGCCTCAGCCCCAGGTGATGGCTCAGGGCGGTCTGCTCAACTCCAACCACGGCGTGCCCCAGGGACACGTGCAGCAGATGATTCAGCGCATCTCCCCGGGCCAGGCCTACTACTTCCAGCAGCAGAAACAGCAGCAACAGCACCATCAGCAGCACCATCAGCAGCAGCAGCAACAGCAACAACAACAACATCCGCACCAGCAGGTTAACGGAGGAGGAGGAGGAGGGGGAGCCCCTCCGGGGGTGAGTGGACTGGTGGGTCATCAGCGTGGGGTGAGTCCAGTGACGGGCATGAGCCCGCAGCACCACCAGCCTCCCATCATCATGGGCCCCGGCGGGAGCAGCAGCGGAACCAGCACGCCCGCCCCCAGCCCGCTCCTCACCCAGCAGATGCAGAGCATGATCATCGGCGCCGCCACCCACGGTAGCCCTTCCTCTCACAATGGCGGCGGCACGGGATTGCCTCGGGGCTTCGCACAGGCCCCGCCCCCTCCCTACAGCCAAGCTCAAGCCCAGATACAAGGGGCGCGCCTCGGGGTGGTGCCGTCCACATCGGTCAGTGGAGGGACTTCGGGCATGGACCATCTCCAGTCACAGCAACAGACACAACATCAACGGCAACAACAACAACAGCAGCAGCAGCAGCAACAACAAGACTTTCACCGCTCCTCACACACGGCGGCATTAGACTTGTCGAAGTTATCTATAGCGGGCGGTGGTGATGCCCAGCAGATAATTCAGAAGAAAGTAATGGCCACCTCGGGGGTTCCGGCCACCCGTCGGCCGATGAGCTCCAGCCAGATGCCGGTCATCATGTCGTCTGTGCACAGCAAAGAGGTTCAGAAGCCCATCGCGCAGACGGCGACAGCCCCCTTGGTCCCGCCCCCTCACACTGTCAACCCTAACGGGGCGGCAGGCTCACCGCAAAGTTATCTCTCCCACCACGTCCAGGCACACATCAACAACAGCAACATCAGCAACAGCAACATCATCAGCAACAGCCCAATGTCTGCTCTTCATCAGCAACACCAGCAGCTGAAACAACACCAACAACAGCAGCAGCAGCAGCAACAACAACAACATAGCCATCAGCAGTCGCCGCGCGCTATCCCCGCCTCTCGGGGCGAGGTCCCTGTTCAGATCACGCACTCCTACCCCCAGCACCCGGCTCATCTGTTGAGAAATGGTGGCGGTGGTGGTGGAGGAGGGGGGACGAACTACACCTCAGAACAGTTGGCTGCGGCGTCTGCTGTGGCTGCTGCTGCGGCAAGCGTGTCCACGGGGCAGCCCACCATTCAGAGCGCGCGGCCCAGGCACAGCCCGCTTCCGACAAACCACATTCACCAGGGCGTCAAACTTCCACCCAACAGCGGCGTCGGTGGCAATGGTGGTGGTGGTGGTGGAGGAGGCCTGGCCATGTACCCACCGCAGTACCCATCGGAGATGGCCAACCCCGTTTCACGGTCGGATTCCCCCGTGTCTCGAGCCACCAACCAGTCTCCTCAGTCGGTCATCTCCACCACCTCCTCCCCTTCCACCAACTCGGACATCCCAGACAAGCCCCCTCCCCCGTACCCGGGCCGCGCGGGGATGTTGCCGCTGGTGGGCCAAGCCCCGCTGCTTCCACCTCGTGTGCCGCTCAAAGACAAACCCCTGCCCCCTCCTCCCCCGCAGGATCACAGTTCCACGTCACAGACGCTACAGCACCAGCAGCAGATAGCAGCACTGCAGGGTTTGACCTCCATGCTGCCCCCACCCTCCCACCTAGCCGGGAGCTTCCCTCAAATACCACCCAGCTCCTCCTCCTCCTCGCCCTCCCCCTCCTCCCCGGGGGCACCCTTCACCAGCAACGGCCCGTCTTCGCTGTTGGCCACCATCCAAGGCTCCCCCAGCAACAACGCGTCGGGGAAACACGCAGCAAACACCCTGACCCCACCGTCGCCCGGCGGCTCGCCCAACCTCCCCGGCCCACAGGTCATCAACAGCACTCCGCCTTCCGAGACAGACGAGACGGACACAGACACCAGCAGTGTCGGACACGCCTCTTCCAGCAACCCCAACAACAATGGCAACAACAACAACGGAAACAGCAGCAGCAACAACAACAAAGGTTTGTCTTCCAACAGCGCGCAAGAGAAGCACCGGTGCATGTCCCCGCTCCCCGAGCGCAGGTCTGACGCGCGCGAGAGGGACAGCCTGCGTCGCGACACCAAAGTGCGCATGTACTCCCCGCAGGCCTTCAAGTTCTACATGGAGCAGCACGTGGAGAACGTGCTCAAGTCGCACTCGCAGCGCATGAACCGCCGGCTGCAGCTGGAGAAAGAGATGGCCAAAGTGAACTTGTCGGAGGAGGCCGCCCGCCAGATGCGCAAGATGCTGCACCAGAAGGAGTCCAACTACATCCGGCTGAAGCGCGCCAAGATGGAGTCCTCCATGTTCGAGAAGATCACCACGCTGGGCGTGGGCGCGTTCGGCGAGGTGGCGCTGGTGCGCAAGAAGGACGTGGGCTCCCTCTACGCCATGAAGACCCTGAAAAAGGCCAACGTGATCAAGCGCAACCAGGTGGCGCACGTGAAGGCGGAGCGCGACATCCTGGCCGAGGCGGACAACGAGTGGGTGGTCAAGCTCTACTACTCCTTCCAGGACCGCGACAATCTGTATTTCGTCATGGACTACGTGCCCGGCGGCGACCTCATGGGCCTGCTCATCCGGCGGGAGATCCTGGAAGAGCCGCTGGCCCAGTTCTACATCGCCGAGCTGGTGCTGGCCATCGAGTCGGTGCACCGCATGGGCTTCATCCACCGCGACATCAAGCCCGACAACATCCTCATCGACAGCGACGGCCACATCAAGCTCACCGACTTTGGATTATGCACGGGCTTCCGGTGGACGCACAACTCCAAGTACTACCAGAAAGGTCAGTCCGTCAGCCTGTTGGTAGGTCAGTTGGTCTGTCCACCATTTGTCTATCCCTCTGTCTGTCTGTCTGTCTGTCTGTCTGTCTGTCTTTCGGTCAGTCTGTCTGTCTGTGTGTCTGTCTGTCTGTCTGTCTGTCAGTCTGTCAGTCTGTCAGTCTGTCTGTCTGTGTGTCTGTCTGTCTGTCTGTCAAATCAGTGACTATAGTTGGCACTAGCGTGTGAGTGCGAATAGTTTATGTGAATAAGTAGTTGATGAGTGTTCTGATGTGGTTTGCTCTTTCTTTCCTATCAAACAAACATCTATTGTCCTTCTCTCCTGATTCTTTTCTTTGAATCATGTTACCAAGTAGTAACACCTGTTATCTTTGGCACTTATAGTATGACGTATTTTTGTTGCATAAGCCGTAAAAGTCTTTAAACTAAAACTAAAGTGTGTAGTAGTATGTGCTAGTGTGTTTGTTTCGGTGATCGAAGAAAGGTGGGGGGGATGGTATGTCTTTGTGTGGATGGGCTGTTGACATTTCTAGACTTGATGTTATTTTCTTCTTGTCCTTCCTCCTCCTCCTCCTCCTCCTCCTCCTCCTCCTCCT